TCCACATTTCATCACCAAAGATTCAGCATGTGATTAACGTAGCAAGGTTTTAGCTGTTGAAATGTTTCTTAGGCTTAGGCAGGTTACTTGAGCTAATAATGATAAATTGTGACCCACCAAAGCAAAGCCTGACAGGAGTTACTGATATACAGTATTGTGCAAAAGTCAGAGACCACTTCTCCAAAGTTCAGTCTTAGAAGTTGGTTGAATTTTCTGCTTCTCACAATCCAAGTAGTCCCAAACACAGTCAATGATACAGAGGTCTGGACTCTGGAGTGGTCAATCCATTGTTCAGAGAACACCAGCAGTTTCGTTGTTTGATTTGCAAAGAGGGAAGTTAGGGCCCCCAGGACCCCCTGTATTTTGCACCTTGCTCTTGGAAAACTTTGAGAACTTATTCAGTCCTATATCTGATCCCCTCAGAAATATCTCCTGAAAATGAGTATCTTGTACTTAGTAGATGTTTTGACTAGATGTGAAATAAATGAAGGGTGGTCTGACTTTTGCACAATACAGTATAGCCAGAGTGGGTGGGTCAATGTGATTACCAGCTACAATTATTGTAGAGCTGGGCTTATCAAGGCTCTACATTGGCTAACCATTTTCTTTATACTAAGAACGCATTTGTGTTTAGAGGAAAGATGAAATTGTGTGTGTGTGTGTGTGTGTGTGTGTGTGTGTGTGTGTGTGTGTGTGTCTATGTCAAAGAGCAAGAGAAAAGAAAATGTACAACAGAGAGTTAGATCCAGAAACTGATTTCACATGAGGGGATCCAAAGTCCCCCATCATTTTGAGACATATAGGGGGACTATCTTAGATCGGCTAGGAGGGGCACACACGACCAAAACTTGTGCAACCCTTGTTCATTTAAAGCTGTTCTGTTCCAGGATTCAAAAGTGGCACACATTTTTGTAGGATGTTAGCTGTGAAAAGGGGAGGAGAGCCCTTAAAGTTGTGCCTCTGAGTAATTTAAATAAAAGTGCTGAAACTAAAACATTATCATCTCTGGTCCTTTGTATGTGATTTGTGTTGTAGGTAATTTTACTGAAACTGACCCTAAAGCCAGTTAAATAGAGATTCACTCACTGGCCACTTTATTAAATATACCTACCTTGTATCTACACTTATTGTCCATTTTACTGGGTCCATTTACCATTGTCAATTTTACTGGGTTCATTCTGTAGTTCTTCAATTAAATATCTCCTCTAAATTCTCCTCTTAAGTTGTTAACCCTCTTTATTCTGTTCATAAATTGTCAGGACCACCGCTGAGCAGGTCTTTCAGGCTCATCTCATGCTGCACAGTTTGTGTTAGTCATCCTTTGGTCCTTCATCAGTGGTCAGTTTTCTGGCTACTGGATACTGTTGGCTGGATATTTGTGGTTGGTGGACTACTCTCAGTCCAGCACCCTGCTAGAAAAAAACCAGCATAGACCAGTATGGCTGATCACCCAGCTCTGGGCTGTTTTTTCAGCAGGGCAATGCTCTGCTGTGTCTGATCCACTCTGTGCAGCACACGCACACACACACATCACCACGTCAGTGTCACTGCAGTGCTGAGAATCCACCAGCCAAATAATAGCTGCTCTGAACACTGAAAAACGGGGTTAAGCTAACAAAGTATGCAGAGAAATAGATGCACTGCAGTCTGTAATTATAGAACTATGAAGTGCACCTATATGGAAAGTGGAGCTGATAATATAGACAGTGAGTGTAGATATAAGGTAAGTGTACCTAAATGAACATGACTCATGAGTGCACATTAAAATTAATAATATACTATTAATGCCATAACAACGGTGAAGTAGAATAAACAGTGTAGAAAACATACCTGGCATTATAGCTGTCTGTGTAAAATCTTTCTATATGTGAGTGGTGTGACTGCTACACCAGGTGGCGCCAGTTCATAAACCCTGCTCTGGTGAGAAAATCAAGCTGGGAAAGAGAGGTAAACCAACCTCTCTGTTCCTCAGGTTTGCAGGTTTGTTCCATAATTAGTGCCATAGCCACTATATTTCTCATTCTCATGGTTTCTTCTAATCCTTGGAAAGTGACAAGCTCATAGAAGCCTGGATACCACCAATCTGTGTGTCCAGCTCAGAGAGAGGGTTTCCTTTTTCCCTCTATGCCATTCCATAGACACTGAGATCCATCTTGCCACAACCAATGACTCAGTCAATATTTGCTATCAGGTTTATCGTGTGTTTAGGAACTCCATTGATAAACAGTGGGGTGGCTGCAGTCTTGGTGTTAGTTTAAGAAGCCTAAAGATCTTAAATATGTACAGTTTTGACTATCATCTAAATATGCAATCTGTATCAAGTTTTGATGTGATAATTTGGGAGAATATGCTGATATTTCTTCAGCTTTCCCCTCCTGTAAACAGTAACTGACCACTTATAGACTTCAAACACGAAAATCAAACACTAGGACTTGTTAAGACAGCACTATGGCTAGCCCATGAGCCTTCAAATGAAGGTCTGTGCAGTGTGGTCTTGTAGAATTGTGCACCATCTTTTTTGAGAGTGTAGAACCATCTATAGCACATTCTCCATCAATCTTTCATGATGCAAAGAACCCTTTAATAAGGGTTATTTGAGTGTTCATGGTTCTACATAGCACTGCCAATAAAACGGGATGGTCTAGAGAAGCCGCACGAGCCTACGGCAGGGGTGGGGAACTGAGGGCTGGAGTCCAGCACAGTTTGCTGATTTCTCTGTTCTAACACGATGCCTAAGCCTGGCAATTAAATGTTGAATCATCTGTGTTTGAGCAGAAGAGTCTACCAAACTGTGCAAGCATCTGCCCTCCATGACTGGAGGTCCACACCCCTGGCCTAAAGTTACCATGCCCAATGCTCAGCGCCAACTAGAGGGGTATAAACCCCCCAACATTTCGTTGTGAAGCAGTGGAACTGTGTTCTCTGGAGTGATGAAGCTGCATCCAGTACCTCTGGGATGAGTTGTAGTGGAGTTTGTGATCCAGAAATAATCACTCAACATCAATACCTGAGCTCACTAATGCTCCTGTGGTTGAATGCAATCAAATTCTAGTGTAAAGCCTGTTCCCTATGTGTACTATCTTAATCTTAGGGTCTAATTCTCAATAAAATCAGCACGCACTCTTTAGGCTCGCTGAAAAAAAGGCTTTAGCTGTATTTTTACCTCTTCCTTCCGCTTTCTTTCCTCATCTCACACCACTGATACTGCACTTCCTACCTACAGCTGCCAAACCTTGGCTTAGTATCTAGCTACCTTCCTGCATGCCTTTCTGGATGCTGCATTGTGCATTGTGTTCACATGCCACTCACATGTCCCAGACTATGCCAGCTGCCCTTTATGTTGTGTTAAATTTTCATGAATGGACTAATGGAAATGGTCCAAAACAATTTTACAGCAACTTACGTTAAAAGTTAAGAAGATTTTTTCTTTTCCTGTAAAGTTACCATTTTGGAAATAAAAGGTTTTGTTCCGGTTTTGTTCTTTGTTGTTCTTGGGATAAAAAAGCTATTTCGGAAACCAAATACAGCTTTCAAAGCTCTTATATTCGAGTGTGCTGAGTGTATCTCTGTCTGTCTTTTAATCCTTATCTCTACCAGTCTCGCCATATCTGTCTTCCTCCATCCATTCCTCATCTGCATTTCACAAAGTGAGTGTGTTTTTTTTTTGTTTAACTTTCTCTTCAGAATTAAGCATCAATCAAAAGTGCTGCACTAATCCTGGCTTCAAAGTGACCTTAGGCCTGTTCTGACCTTTGGACCCCTGGCTCTGGAGCCACCAGGTATGTGGAGCAGAGGGCAGTTTGTAGACCTACCATTGTTTAAATGATCAATGACCAAAGACTAATGACCTGGTCTCTGATTTTTTTAACTCCTACTATACCAGCCCTGGAAACATCTGCAAGCATACACTGATATGAGAGAAGCTTAGGGTTAAGCACATTTCTCAAAGGCAGAACAGCAGTGGTCACTTGTACCTAGAACCCTCCAGCACTAGATCAACACACATGGAGCTCACCTTAGGACTGAAGCAGGATTATATTCTTCAGCTGTATTATGTTATTACTATTTGGTGGGAAAACAAAGCTTTTAGTGAAAAGCACATGTTATTGACCAATTGATACTGCTCATTGATACGACTGGCTAGTAGTCACAGTTCTCATCTCTATGATACAAAAATTAGGATCAGTACTGGTAGTATTGGTACGTGCAGGTGTCACTTGATGTTGATAGAACACAGCTTTCAAAATATGCTGTTAACATAAAAATAACAAAAACTGGCATTTTCTATATTTTTTTAAAGTCAAAAGCTCAACTGTGAGGAGGATTGTGGTAGATTCAGTATCCAACAAATTAAACAAAATTCATTTTATAATAAATGTTGGTCATTTTCAGATAATTGTTTACTTATTTCACATTAACATATTAACATTTCATAGTACTACATCTCTATGATTGTGCTAAGGTGAGGCATGTGCAAACGCAAATGCACAAAAAACCATATAACAAAACCTCCTTTCTGCAAAATGGAAAGTTTACAGGAGAAACAAATGGTAATTTTGGGCCATTTCTGTTGGTCCATCCATCATGAAATTTCAATACAAAAACGGTACGTTACGAGTTCAAATTATGCAAAACAAGTTCACAAAAACGAGTCATTTGGGCGAAATAATATGTAAAAAAAAACGGTTATGTGACTTTTGTCAGCCTTGAATGACGTTGTTGTCGAGGGGCGTGGTCCTGTTGTTGCCAGGGGCGTGGTCACGTCTAGGCGATCGTAGCAACAGCCCTCGCTGAAACAGACAAGCTACAGCGCCAATTCAGTGAACCGTCATTACGTTTAAAAAACCTGCACGTTTGAGCGCAAAAATGTGGCCGTTTCCGTTGTAGAGAGCGATAAACAGAGTTAACGGAGAGACTGTGGCTGGTCCGCGGTGTTTGCCGCTCTCCTTCGCTCCTCACCCGCAGGGGTTAAACAGGGAGCGGGCCAAGCTCGGGGTGTGACGTAGCTGCTGCTCGGCGCTGGCTGCAGTGCGTGTGTGTATGGGAGTGTGTGTGTGTGTGTGACGGTGTGTGTACGGAGGCCGAACAGACAGAAACGCACAGAGAGAGATATCAGCTCACAGTCCGGCTCGGAGACACAGCGGAGACACCGCCGACTCTCTGAACGGAGATCATTTCGGAGGATTACTGGCTGTATTTCCGCTTTTTCAGTCAGCCCGCCTCAGGAGTGAGCTGTAGAGAGATACGGAGCTGTGAACGAGCGCGCGAGCAGCCCGTGTCATTCGCCTCAGAGAGAGAGAGAGGGAGAGAGAGATGCTGCTGCGGTTCCCTGTCCATCGTCTTTCGACCACGAGAGTCTGAAGCGGCCAGAGAAATGGCTCTGTAGGCCGGACAGCGCTGTTCGTGTTGGTGAAAATGCGAGGCAGCGGCTCGCTCTCTGCAGGTGGATGGCCGACCTGACCTGACGGGCGAGAGAGGGAGAGAGAGAGGAAGATAAAGGGGAAAGGAGAGAGAGAGGGAGAGGTGTGAGGCCATGCTGCCCGGGGTAGGCGTGTTCGGCACCAGCCTGACGGCCAGGGTCATCATCCCGCTGCTGAAGAACGAGGGCTTCTCCGTCAAGGCTCTGTGGGGACGGACCCAGGAGGAGGCCGAGGAACTCGCCAAGGAGATGAACGTCCCCTTCTACACGAACCGGATCGACGACGTGCTCCTCCATCAGGATGTGGACCTGGTCTGCATCAACCTGCCCCCGCCCCTCACCAGACAGATCGCCGTCAAGACGTTAGGTGAGTGATCCGCCTCCGTCAGCCTCCACCTGCGGGCCTGCTGCTCAGCTCTGGATGTTTTAGCCATGAGAAGACAGGGTGCACTTTATGGTGTGTTTGAGATTTATGTATTTATATTTAGTTTATATTTTACCCATTCTTGATGTTTTTAGTTAGGACAGGATATAGTGCAGTTTTTGTTATGTTTATAATTTCTTTCTTATTTATTTTTGTAGTTATGAAAAGATAACAGTGCTATTTTGGTGCGTTTATTTATAGCTGTGAGAAGACACTGTACCAGTTTTATGTTTCTGTAAGTTATTTATTTGCTTATTTATTTATAGATGTCAGAAGAAATGTTTGGTATTTTTGTAAGAATTTATTTAGTCGTACGTTTTCACTGTGGCTATGGTTCTGTTTAGTTTTGAGAAGACAGAGTGCTGCTTTTTTAGCGTTTATGAATTGATCTTCATTATATTTACTTCTTTATGTATTTTAGGTATGACAAAGTACAGTTTTTTGCTGTGTTTGTCACATTTTTCAAAGTTATGCGATGACAGTGAACCACTTTTGTTGAGAGAAGGTTTTAGATAGCTAGATAACTAGAGACAATAGAATGTGAGATGACCATAGACCCATTTAAGACTCATCTCAGGTTGTCTAGTAACTCAATAGCATTTAGTTGTTCACTTATATCCTGCCTGACAGAGGAATGCATGTTTGATCTTGTACTATTTGCCAGGTATTAGTCAATGTGGATTGGTTGCAGCTTAGGTGTGGCTCCAGGTCCTCTCTCACAACAGCAGTACAAAGGCCAAACCTTGTATAGCCATAAGAAACTGTAGAGGGTCTTCTCTTGTTGGAAAATCTGTTTTAAGTGTCTGAAAAGGAGAAGACTGATACAGTTCAGAGGCCTCCTCCCTCAGTTCCACCATGGACAGTTCAAGTGTGAATCAGTATCAGAGAGCTGTTTTGAAGACACTGCTGTCACGTGGCATATACAGCATTTCTAAAGACCCATGCTGGTTAAAGACACATGCTAATCTCACGGCCTCTTATGATTGGCGTGTGCGATTCTACATCCTGTGTGGTGAAACTCACCTACTCCTTCCGGTTTGTCGCTGTGGCTGATATGTTTGTAGTGCTGCAAGTCATGGCTCTTTGTCTAATGAATTACAGTTATGCGCCAGATTAATATACTGATCAGTTGTTATGGCAAAACCTCAGGTGTCCATTGCAGGCCAAACTTTATTCAGAAGTGAATTAATGCTTCTTCTCCATTTCTGAGCATCAGTTTTGGTGGGTTGAGGAGATACAATCTCCAGCAGCGAAGGGCTAACCAAGATAGATTAAATCGGTTTATCATTTATTTCAAAAAACGATTTAACCTTGGATAAGTGCTGGGCAGTATATTGCTTATACCATAATACTGATGTGCCATGATGTTACTTTAGGGATGTATTTGATAGATAATGAGTGTTATATTCATGATATTTTACCCACAATATAGTGGCGTCTCTGTTATGAAGCAGTTTGTTTTTAGTTTTTAATTCTGTTTTGTGCACTGTACTCTTGATATCCAGGATAAAACAGTTAACTGCAATAAATGTAGAGCTGGGCCTACATTCACTGTCACTGTATGCTTTTCTGAGCATGTTGTGGATATTGTCATGTTTGATTACAATGAGAGTGTAGTTAGTCCTGTTTTATTGGACTCATTGCAGCACGGCATGTGAAATGTTAAACTTTGTCTTTTTCAATTTATCAGGTATCAGAAAAATATATATTGTGATGTATCGTGTATCAGCAAAACAGTGCAAGGATATTACATTTTTGCCATTTCACCCAGCTGTAAATGAATGTGGCTTGTTGGGTGCTTCAGATTGTTTTAGGCTATTTTCACATGTGATTCATTTGCTAGTTCGTTTGCAAGTCTGGCCCAGAGTTTGGGTTTTTGTGACATTGTATCTTTTTCAGTTGGTTCAGTTGCACACCAAATTATGTACCCGGGTGTTGTTTGGCCAGAAATTTGGTGGAGATACAAGCACTTTGCTACTTTCATGTTTGCCTCCATTAGTGCCAAAAGGTATCAGTCTTGTTTTTAACTTTCACTAGACTATGATGCTATAAAATCCAAATCCATTCCTCAGATATACTCTTGATAAAATTTATAATTATATCAGTTGTGTTGCACGAAAATAGAGATGCTTAATTCAATATACATCTCAATAAGAGTAATGAAAATAAACTTCACTCAATCTCTACTTTATGATTGATTGGTTTCATTTTGCACCAGTTTGAATTTAACCAGTCAGGATAAAATCATGCTCTGTTGTCAGATTCCCTTATTAATGGACCATCATAATGCATTCCCACCAGCAGCAAACTGAACCAGGGTTTACTTGGAAGCAGACTGAGACCGTCAATTTTTGCTGGACCTTGGTTTATTTGTATAGTGCACACACAAGTATGGGTGGAGTATTCACACCCTGTCAAAACAAATTGATCTAAAAAGAAATTTTGATTGGTCTGCACCAAATAAGGTAGGTGTGAAAAAGCACCCTTAGAAAACAGTTTGGTGTTATTTTAAGAGAAGAAAACAAAACAAAACAGTTCAGTCAAAACAAGCTGTGTCAGTTTTGTAAGACATGCTTTTAGCACGGGTTAGCAGCACTTAGGAAGCAGGGGTTGCTGACTTTCTTAATGCTAGTTTAAAGAACGTTTGATATTGTGATATACTTGGAAAATGCTGTGATATTGAATTTTATTAGTTTTACCCACAATACATAGGATTATATATGCTAGATTGCTCATGGCAAAAATGCCCTTGCAGGCCGAGCTTTAACAGAATCTTTGCATTAGTTCAGGCTCCCTCTTTATGCCATGCACCTTTATGTTTTGTCTCACTAGTGTCCCTTCAGCAGTGTGTATGGACAGACAGACTGACACAGGTGTTCAGTAATGATTGAAAATAACTGTAGGATTCTGAGAATGGTTCATGTTTGAGGCTGAGATCATGCCTATCACCCAAAAATAACCCTTCTGGTACGAAGCCAATGAGTGGAAATGCATCAACATTCAAACTGATCACGACCCCCTCTCCCCTTGTGTTGACTATACAGGAGGCCTCTGCTTACAAATCTGGTGACTGCATATAACAGCATAGCATTTTGTTATAAATGGGATTATGTCATTTTACAATCTACATCATGGGGCATGTGATGAATTTGAACTTGAGGTTAATAAGGTATAAAACCGTTGTAATACTGGTCACAGTGCAAGGACTTTCAGTGTTTATCTGCGTAGGTAATCAAAGTTTGCTCTAGTCACGTTGTAAAATACTGTTGTCGATAAATGTGTCAGTTACAGGTCTGTGTCTACAAGTCTGAGCAAACATGGCCTTCACTGTGAAGCTAAGCTTCAGTCACGCTGAGGTGTAAGAGCAAATGGATTTAAAAATCTCTCAAAGAAAAAATGGATTTTTATTGTCCCAGTATTATGTTACTGCTTAGACTGAGGATTATGACTGTCTATTTATGGTGTGTTATTTTGCACATGCACACATATTCTCATACAAAACGGTTGTATCTAGAGAGCTGTTAGCTCATTTCACCATCATCATAGTTTGCTCAGGCTTTGGCAGTATAAAATCAAGGCTATAGAAGTCATTATATTGTTGTAACTGCAGTAACGCTGTAGAATGGCATCGTTGGTTTTTATTAACCTCCTCCAAAACACAAAACCATTGGTTTTTACACATTCTCAGGATGTGGGGTGATTTTTATATGTCCCATATAGCCTTGGGCTGGTAATTGATATTATTGAATAGCACAGAATTATCACTTGGCTTCGCCTTTATATAATCATTCCCTTTGTACAGTCATTCTAATGTAGGAATAGTATAAGAATGCATACAATAGAAAAGATTGCACCTAATTATAGGCTATAAAAACAGAACACCACCAACTAATTATCTACACACATATTATAATGCATTTAATGTTGATTTTCAGTTGGGTAAAGAATGGTGGGGAATATACAAATGTGAAAATAACAGACAAGCTTGTCCAGAAGAAGGGTGCCAGCATGCTGCTCTTGTTCTGTTTTGGTTTTCAACCAATGAAAAGCGGAGAGCCAGTGCATGTTAATAGTGTTACATGTCGTATCTGCAAAATGTAGTTATCATTATAAATTATAATATTCTAAAATTATAATATAATAAAATTATATTATATAAAAAAAATATAATATAAAGTAATATTAGAAGCAAGCCCAGTTGGTAATTATGTGATCATTATATTACCATCAGGGATATGCAAGCTATAGCACAAGGTTCTGTAATGCTAGCATGTGGCACACATCTGGTCAAAATACAAGTTTTATTGATTTTCTAAGTGAAAATAAGTTAACACATCCTCTACGGAGAACACACCTAAATATGACATTTTTCTGCAGATTTTAGTGCACAAATTCTGTTTATTTGCTGTGTTTAACAGATTGGAAAAAATAAACATACAGTTTAAAATAGGACATAACTTCTGCTCAGGTCACATTTTATGTATTATTTTTTCCGTTATGTTAAATTTGGTAAACAAGCAGTTGCTGTTCTTTAAAATGTGCAGAAGTGACCAGGGGTGCCCAAACGTTTGCATACCACTGTAACTGTTTTGGGAGCATAATTATACAAGTTGTTGCAATATATCTACAGGCAAGAATCTTTTGTCTAAATTTACATCATCATCCAAGCTTAGCCCAGTATGTATATTTGACCACCAATATGTAATAAAAATGTTCTAAGCTTTCCCTAAACCTAACCTTTCACTCAGTAAAGAAAAAAAAAATCAGTTTTAAAAAATTACACATGTAGATTTGTAGAAAGTACTTTAGAAATTCAGGACCATTTTGCTGGTCATGCCTTTGTAGTTCCCCACTGTTTTTCTGTTTTTCCTACAAAGTCAGGACTTTTTTGTTCTGAAAATGTTCAAAAAACAAACACCACCTCAGGCACATTAACACCAATT